AAATAAGTTTTAATGTTTTATGCATTATTTTTTTGCCCAATAAAAATTGGAGGGAGATAGTTGAAAATGTTGGAGGGAATATAATATTTTAGTGAAAACATTAAGGCCACATTTGTAATGTGTTGCTTTTACAATTATAAAAATAGGATACTTTAAAAGTGTGGCCATATATGTAAATAGTTGTTGCCAATTATATCATATTATAACAACGCTTATAAAGTGTAGCTTATACCATTAAAGAATACACTTTACAAGTGTTGCAAATATTATCGAATCTAAAAGTTAAAAACTTGGACTACGCTTTAAAAGCCACTCCAAAAATATTTTAGGCAACACTTTACGGGCGTTGTCCATATTTAGTTTGGCCATAGGTCTAAAATGTTGTAGTGATTTCTCCGTTCGGTATTGAACCCAAAGCTTTTCTTGGGAGGGGTCAAACGAAAAATCGCATTATTAAAAGATATCAAATAATTATATTGACTAATTTGAGATGACAAAATTATGGTTTGATGATGTTAAAGAATGAAAAAAGTCTCACATCAAAAATTATATTGACTAATTTGAGATGACAAAATTATGGTTTGATGATGTTAAAGAATGAAAAAAGTCTCACATCAGTGGTTAATGAGATGGGTGAACTCCTTATAAGGCTTGAGCAATTCTCCTCCCTTTGAGCTAACTTTTAGGGTGTGAGTTAGGTCCAAGACCTAATTTAACATGAGTTAGGCCCAAGACGTAATTTCACATGGTATTGGCCCGTCTCACCCGATGTTGGGGCCCCCAAAATCAAAATTGCCCACGCACCAGATGCTAAGCACTGGGTGTGAGGTGACGTGTTAAAGAATGACAAAAGTCTCACATCGGTGGTTAATGAGATGGGTGGTTCCGTATAAGGCTTGAGCAATCCTCCTCCCTTTGAGCTAGCTTTTGGGGTGTGAGTTAGGCCCAAGACCTAATTTCATAGATGATTGATTGCAAAATATAATCTATTGAATCCATGGTGGCGGAGTTACCTACCCACTGTCTTCTTCCACAATAGACTGGTCGGAGAAGGAAGGAAGATATGAGGCAGCGATGATGATTGGTTGTACGGAAAGTTCATCACTCTTCGTTTTATATTTGACTTCCCTAGCCATGATAAGCTTCTCGAAGGTTTCTAATGGCAGATCCATTTAGTAACTGTTTTCTATGTTGTTTTCTATCTTGTTAGCATCTTCATCTATAATCAAATCCCCAATGTTCTGCATCCATACTTCTCTTCTCTTACCTCTTCTCAGTTTCTCTCAATTTTACGATTTTGTCCCAAATTAGATATAGAAAGCTTAGAAGATGAGCGACAAGACTTGTGAGTTCTCTCTAACACGTTCTCATGCATTTTCAATCTGTAAATCAACTTGAGTTTTTTTTTTCAACTTTGAATTGTTCTAGAATATTTTGAAATTTGTATTCTGATTATAATTTATTTTCCAGAAAAGGCTCTAATTAGAAAATCAACTAAGTTCTTTCGAAATTTGTATTCTCCGACATTTTCATCAGTGTCTCGAAATTTGAATTAGAGGTCGTCAACTCTGCCACAGATGGCATCGGTGTGTATGAAGCTCTGGCATGAGTTTGTTAGACCTTTGATTTTGCTGCCGGTGATGGAATCAGTCTACTGTATTCGTTTTTGCATTTAACTTTGTTCTTCGTGTTTACTTTTACTTTCTAAGGCAAAATATGAGTAGTAGCTTCTAAATAAAGGATTGGATTTAAATCAAGTCTTTAGTTTAACTATCAGTAGGGTCATTTGTGGATTTTCTTCCATGTTTTATCCTCATCTATTTTATTTTTTGGAAGTTAGTGTTTAAGTTGTTAATTTATACTTTACTTTTTTGAAATTTTTGTGGATTTTCTTTCATACTCAACTGATTCTATGGCGCAAGTAAACATTGCAATGTCCATACCCATTGCTAATGGGCGGTGTCTATTTCTTTTTTTAACCGTGACAAGTTTCTCTTCTCGTTTCAGGAAGAACTCTCTCTTCCATAATGGCATCACAATCACATATTATCCCAGTCACTATTTCTCTCCATTTCTCATGAAATAGGAGAATAGCTGGAAGCTGACAGGGTCGATACATTGTTTATAGTGGTGAGTTCGACAATGCTCAAGGTTTTTACATGTTTAATAAGCTAACACCACTCAAGGTTTAAAGATCAGAGGAAGTGGGGATGGATAGTCAGAGAGCGAGAAATTGAATAGGACGTTCGCCTGCACTATGATAAATTTTTCTGACAACTTATTACCTTACGCTGTCAATATTTGATTATTTTCTACAAAGTAATATGCATCTTTAACTTTTAAAAATTCAGTATTTCCATCTGTATCATTGACCATACGGCTAAAAGGCAATATTCTCATTCTATAATTAGTCTGGTCCAGATTCAGTTGGGATTTTTGTCATCTCACATAGTTACAGTGGAGTGGTAGCCCGAGCATGTGGTCTTGCTAGTTTAGAACCAACAAAGGTAAACATTTGTTAATTTAGAAATATTACTGTTGCTCCGTTGCTAGTTTTGGTCCTTTTATGATTAATGTAGATGTTGTTACTTTTTTCTAACTAAAATATTTTACAGATTGCTGAGATCCTCAAAGATCGAACTGCTTGGTTTCAGGACTGCTGAAACGTCTAAGTTTTCACAATGTTTTTTGTAGGAAATGGTGGTACAATTGAGCTTTTATATACACAAGTGAGTACCTTCTCTTTAATCTTTATGTAGGCTTTTGATTGGATTAGCTTCAGTACTAAGGGGATCAATTAAATCATTTATTTCGGATATATGCTCCTACCACTCTGCCTCCTGCATATGATTTTCGGACGCTCAGATACACAGCCACCCTAGACAATGGTAGCATTGTGGTAAACAATCCTTCACATTAGTGTGAGCGACCTGGGCACTTTTATACTTAGTTCTGATATTCCACATTTAACTAGTCTTTAAACATCTCAATCCTTGGATTGAATAGGAGTCTAGAATGTAATATGTTTGGGTCATATTTAACTAAATGCTGCATTATAATTTCCATATACACCTTTAAGGATCTCGCTACTTCAGTATGACACTTTGCTCTATTGTTTGTGATTCTTAGTAGTGAATTCTATTAGTTGTGCCATCTCATATATGTTGCTGATATTTTCTTTTAATAAATAAGTGCATAGCACACTTTTTTTGCAGCTAGTGAACCATTTTCCTTCATGGATGCAAATTATCCAGTGATAATTGTTGACGAGGCAACCGTTGGTGTCTTGTAATCGTATTATATAATTAGTTTCGATAATGTTATTGCATGATTGGATCGGGTCACAATGATTAGAGTGGATGATGTGTTTAACAATTGAACCGGGTAGTAAGGATAATATAAATGTATTCATGGTGGAGTTGAATACATTGTATGGCATAACTAAGCTCTCCCAACCAATGATATGCAAACAATTTTATATTAGCACTGTGAAGTTTCTCACTTAATCTTTTTTCTTAATTGTTGGCAGCAGTATCATTGTGGGAGTTCCTAACCCCGCAGTATGTAAAATAAATCCCCGCTATGTAGATTTTTTTTTGTAGTTAAAGAGCCTAATAATTTAAGGTTAATGAAAATAAATGGTCTGTTACAATTGAAAAGAGCAAATAATTTATATCAATCAGTCGTACAATAAGAGCTTTTGAAACCCATTTAATTATCAGATAATTTGACCTGAAACTAATATCACAAACAATTTTTTTTTGAGATATCACATAAATCCAATAGATAATGATTTACAGTGGAGGTTAATAGTTATAGTTGCTGACAACGGCTAATGATGATGGTTGACGATATAAAAAGTGATAGTTGATGGTGATAATTATCCTTAGTAATTGATGGTTGGTGGTGTGACCGCAAATAATAGCTAGGGCTGTAACAACTAATTAGAATAGTAATGGTGATTGTGGATAGTGATAGTTGATAATGATGTGCGATCATGACAATCAATAATGATGTGCGAAGGTAGTAGCTGATAGAACAAAATCCCTCCTAAATAAATATCTTTATGATATCAATACTTTATTATAAAATTTAGTCATTTAAATCTATTCAAACTCAATGAGAGGCATGAATTGTAATAAAATAAATAAATTTAATTGTTATGATTTAATGACTATTATTCCGACTTTAAAAAAATTAAGAAACACAATAACTTTGATATGGATAATAACTTTTATTTTTACTAGAGAGGTGTAAATAAATGTGGCCTCATGTGCATCCCTACTGGCTACCACAACTTTTTCTTTTTTTTCTGATCAAGTGTTTAGATTTACGGTGTGTTGAATATGATAAAAAAAAATTGTTCATAGAAAATATTTTCTAAAAAAATTGTTCCAAGAAAATAAGTACCTATTTTTTTGTGTGTCTAATATGTAAATTAAAATTTATATCTAAAAATATTTATATATAATTTACATAAATATTATCAAAGATAAAGGTGGAGGGTAGGGGCTGTAAGAGGTGAGGAGGAGAGTATCGATATGAAGTATCACTTATATAATTTATTTTTCATATTTTCATTTAGAAAGTTATTTTTCTTAATTTTACTGAACTTATTTTCTTAATGAAACATTTTACATAAAATATGATGATTTTTTTTGTTTCATATTAAAAACACTTTAGATTAATTGTTAATGAATAATATGCACACATATACATGTCGACAGCTTCACATACGTTATTTTAATTAAATACTCCCGTCGTTGTATATATAATACAGTAATATAATAAACATAATTGCGATACATACCACATGTGGTGCTTTGATATTTTTGATTCTCTAGAGGAAGAAACATTCATGCATGATTACGACTTTTCCATGGAGATGGAGCCACATTACATGTATGTTGTCACCTTAGGCTTAGTCCCTATTCATCTTTTGTTTTGATGTGATATCTTTAGCATTATTCATAAGAATTTTTTCATAGTTTAATAGTTTAAATGATTGACTATTTAAAATTTAATTTTATTGATGAGACTTTGATTTCTCAACTTATAATTTTATGTCATATTTTAAGAATTTATTGAATTTTATGTTTACTAATAATGTCACAATGTGCATATGCTGACAACCACATTTAATCAATATAAAATTTCACTTGTTTTTTTTTTGGTTAAATTTAGGACATTTAATCAATATAAAATTTCACTTGTTTTTTTTTTTGGTTAAATTTAGGGGCAAATTACATAAATCCCACTAGTTTAGGTCATAATTACTAGAATTCACGATAGTTTCGAAAATTACTTCTTGTACCATATTTCTTTCTTTAGATACATGTATCATTACTCGTCAGATACATGTATCCAACAAATTTAAAAATTGAGATACTTGTTTAATTAATTCACATGGACAATTAATTAATTTTGGAAATATTAATCAAATTCCTTAATATAAATCAAGTAGTGTATCTTTGTTTAATTAATTTCATTTCATTACTCTTTATAATAATAAATTCATTAATATTATTAATAAAAGACAAAAACATGTATATCTTGGTTATGAAATTTGATTAATTTCAACTTATTACTCTTAAAATAATAAATTTATTAATTTGATGTATTTATTATCAATATATGTTGTATCCAATAAAATAAACACTTAGATACATTAGTGTTCGGTATCTAGAATTAATTCATGTATATATGTATATGATCTAATATTAAATTCATGTATCTATTTATATGTATCTAGTATTAATTTGATGTATCAAGTATCAATTTCATACATTATATCCAACAACATGTATCTCAAATACATATTGGTAAGGAGATACATTTAATTATGTGTATCTAAATATGAAATGTAACTGAAACACATGAATTTAGGAACAAATCACGATTGTACATTATTTGTCTATCATTAATTTTAAAAAAATAATCAAAATTAATACCCAAGAAAGATTAGATACATGCATACTTAATAAGATACACTGATAAAACTAGATACATATAA